CCTCTCTTTGTCCTGATTTTATTTTCTGTCCTTCAGTTCGACTAAAACTGATTACTGTAAAAATGTAAATCTGTAAATGTTTGTAAATATTTATGTTATTTAAATTAACAGAYGTGTTTTTATTTTAGCTAACACACGAAACACCAAAATCTGTCGTTAAAATCTCACTTTTCTACAGAGAATCTGACATTTCTGCAGGTTTTAGTCTCAGGATTCAGTTTATTTTCATTTTGTATCAAATATTTACTGTTTTATGATAAAAAGCAGCTTCAGATGAATAAACTGTAAACAGATATTTTGTCTCGTTGTTTATTTACATTTTGTTTATTGAATGTTTTTATACAACCCTGTTTCGTCTCTGAGCTCAGCTTGTTTTATTTTWAAAAATTGTCATTTTTATTTTTTATCTTCCTGTTCCGAACTTTTAAAAACTTCCTTCAGTATTTTAAGATTAATAATCCTGATAAATAAAGTTTATTTTGAGTTATAGGTGTGAGAGAGGGTGATAGATGGGATCTTTAAAAAGAACTCAAAAAATTAAAAAGTAAATTAAAATAAATTTTTTTTATAAAGAATTTAAACCAAATAAAATCGAATAAGGATGAAAATCAGGAGATTAAATGAGATTTTAAGATGTTTCTGTTTTTTTAATTCTGCATTTCTAATATTGTTCTTATATTTCAGGTAATCTGTTAAGTTATATATAAGTATTTTCAAAACTAATAAATAACAAAATAAATTTAAAACAACAAAAAAAAAATCAGTAAAAATAATCAAACAAGTTAAAAAAGGAAATCTCAGTCAGGTGAGAGATTACAGCTCCAGTCTTTTATTATGAATCAAAGAAAATATATTTTCTCTGGTCAAATATAGTTTACTTAAAAACACATTTGTGTAAAAAATGTAAAAAATATTTAAATACTAGAGTAAAATACGATGATCTGGAATCGTTTGGTAGATTTATTCTGTGGCTCAAAATGTGACAAATTAAATCTGACGAGTTAAAACAAATAAAAGATTCATTTAATTTTATTGTTTTCACAACATGAAGGTCGGATTAATTTAATCTGCAGAGAATCAGCTGCAGAGAAGAAACTTCTGCTTTTATTTAAACAATATTTTTGTGCAGCAAATGTTTGAGTTTAAAAATATAAAAATAAAAACAAACACAAACGTTAATAATTAAAATTACATTAAAAATGACTAAAACTCTGTCTCCTGAAGATGATCCAGGACTTTTCCATTCCGGACCCGACCTCTGTGGTTTCTGTCAGCTGAATGGTTCCGCTCGCTGCCAAGTGTGAGCTTCTCAATTAGAGAGGATCCATTGACCCGGTTCTGTTTGATCACCTTCTCTTTGGGCCCAGAACATCAGGCATCCCRTCCTAATTTGGCTCCATCTGTCCAACATGTGAAGAGCGCCTTTGTTGTTGGACCGGCTGGCAGGCGGGTCCAACACGGTCTGCTGGTGCTGGTTCTGACGGGTCGCTGTATCCTGTAGGTTCATGACCCAATCTGATACAGACCCCCTTAGATGGTTCAGAGTGTGACCCCGACTACCCCCAGTTAGATGGTTCCCAATACAACCCATCATCCACTCAGATGGTTCCCAATACAACCCACCAGATGGTTCCAATACAACCCACCAGATTGTTCCCAATACAACCCACCAGATTGTTCCCAATACAACCCACCAGATTGTTCCCAATACAACCCACCAGATTGTTCCCAATACAAC